TCTCTGTCCTGTTCTGTTGATCTATATGTCTGTTTTGTACCAGTGCCATACTGTTTTGATCATTTTAGCTTTGTAGTATATCTTGAAATCTGGCATTGTATACCTCCAACTTTCTTGTTCTTTCTCAAGATTGCTTTGGCTATTTGGCATCTTGTGGTTCCATATAAATTTCACCATTATTTTTCCTAGTTCTGTGAAAAATACTATTGATATTTTGATAGGGATTGTATTGAATCTGAGGATTACTTTGGGTAGTATGGACATTTTAACAGTATTAATTCTTCTGCTCCATGAGCATGTATATCTTTCCCTTTGTTTGTGTTCTTTTCAGTTTCTTTTTTTTTTTTTTAAGATTTTATTTATTTGACAGAGAGAGATACAGTGAGAGGAGGAACACAAGCTGGGGGAGTGGGAGAGGGAGAAGCAGGCTTCCTGCCAAGCAGGGAGCCTGATGTGGGGCTCGATCCCAGGACCCTGGGACCATGACCTGAGCTGAAGGAAGACTGTTAATGACTGAGCCACCCAGGCACCCCTTCTTTTCAATTCCTTACATCAGTGTTTTATAATTCTCAGAGTACTGGTCTTTTACCTCCTTAGTTAAATTTATTCCTAGGTACTTTATTCTTTTTGGTGCAGTTGTAAATGGGGTTGTTTTCTTTCTTTCTTTCTTTTTTTTTTAAAGATTTTATTTATTTGGGCGCCTGGGTGGCTCAGTTGGTTAAGCGACTGCCTTTGGCTCAGGTCATGATCCTGGAGTCCCGGGATCGAGTCCCACATCGGGCTCCCTGCTCAGCGGGGAGCCTGCTTCTCCCTCTCCTCCCCACTTGCTCTTGATCTCTGTTGCTATCTCTGTCTGTCTCACTCTCTCAAATAAATAAATAAAAAATCTTAAAAAAAAATTCCAGGTCTTTAGTCTCGCTCATTGTAACAACTTATGAAATTTGGCCCCTCTTCCTTTCAAAACTGTATTATGGGGACTCTAATTCCCCAAGTGTACTCCACAGTGTTATATTCTGTTTCTTGCCCTTCTCTGTGCCCCCAGCTCCCTTCCAACTGTGGACTTCCACAGTCCGTTTTACTCCCAGACCGTTTCTCCTCCCTTCCTCCCTTTTTCTATGAGGCTTCTTCTCTGTCTTTAGTCGTGGAATCTGTTCTGTTCGTCTTTGTGTCATTTTCTGGGTTATTTACACTGATATGAGTGTTATCTAGTATCCGTGGGAGGAGGCAAGCTTAGGGCCCTCCTACTCCACCATCTTCCCGCCTCTTAGTCTTTGTTTTAAAGTCTGTTTTGTCTGATCTAAGTGTTGCTACCTGTACAATTTTTCCCCACTACCATTTGTACAGAATTATGTTTTTCCATCCTTTCACTTTCAGTCTATATGTATTGTTCAGTTTGAAGTCTTTTCTAGACTTCTTATAGATGGATCTTGCTTTTTTTTTTCATTCAGTAACCCTATATTTTTTTTAGTGGAGTACTTAGACCATTTACATTTAAAGTAATTATTGATAGGTATGTAGTTATGCCATTTTATTCACTCTTTTCTGGATGTTTTGTTGTTGTTCTCTGTACCTTCTCTTACTCTTTTCCCTTGTGATTGGTGAGTTTCTTTAGTGCTATACTTGGATTCCTTTATGTTTTTTGCATATCTATTATAGGTTTTGGTTTGTGGTTATAGTGAGGTTTATATATGATATCCTAAGTTTATAGTATTCTGTAATAAGTTGATGGTTCTTTAAATTTGAACACATTTTAAATGACCTTCATTTTTAAAAATTTTAATTCCAGGATAGTTAACATACATATTTTATTAGTTTCAGGTGTATAATATAGTGATTCATAAATTCCATATATCACCCGGTGCTCATCACAAGTGCACTCCTTAATCCCCATCACCTATTTCACCCATCCCCCATCCTTCTCTGGTAACCATAGCTTTGTTTTCTATAGTTAAGAGTCTGTTTCATTTTTTACTCCCCCTCCACATTTTATGTATATGATATTATATTTTACGTCTTTTTATTTTGTGAGTCCCTTAACTGATTTTTTTAGGTATAATTGATTTTATTACTTTTGTCTTTTACCCTTCATACTAGTTTTATAATTGATTGATCTACCATCCTTACTGTATGTATGCTTTTACTTGTGAATCTTTTTTCTTTCATAATTTTACTTCTAATTATTGCCTTTTGTTTTCTGCTTAAAGAAGTCCTTTTAACAGTTTTTATAATGAAAGTTTAGTGGTGATGAACTCCTTTAACCCTTGTTTCTCTGGGTAACTCTTTATCTCTCTTTCAATTCTTTTTTTTAAGATTTTATTTGAGAGTGAGAGAGCACCAGCAGGGAGGAGGGGTAGAAGGAGAGGGAGAAGCAGACTCCCCGCTGAGCAGGGAGCCTGATGTGGGACTCGATCCTAGGACCCTGGGATCATGACCTGAGCCAAAGGCAGACGTGTAACCAAATGAGCCACCCAGGCACCCTCTCTCTTTCAATTCTTAAGGATAACCTTGCTGGGTAGAGTATTCTGGGTTGTAGGTTCTTTCTTTTCAGCACTTTGAATATATTATTTTACTCCCTTCTGACCAGCAGACTTTCTGCTGAAAAATCAGTTGATAGCCTTGTGGGATTTCCTTATATATAAGTATTCTTTTCACTTGAGTTTTTCAAGATTTTCTCCTCATGTTTTAGTTTTGATATTTTTCATAATTACATGTCTTGGTGTGGATCTCCTTGGATTCATCTTATTTGAGCATCTCTGCTTCTGGGTTATGGATGTCTGTATTCTTCCCTAGGTTAGGGAAATTTTAGCTATTATTTCTTCAAGTTAAGTTTTTTTGCCCCTTTCTATCTTCTCCTTCTGGGACCCCTGTGATGTGAATGTTAGTATGCTTGATGTTTCCCAGAAGTCCCTTAATCTATCCTTGTTTTTAAAAATTTTTTTTTTTTTTTGTAGTGTTGCTTGGGTGGTTTCCATTACCCAGCCTCTAGATCACTAATCTGTTCCTCTTTATCTTTTATTTTTTTTAAAATATTTTATTTATTTATTTGAGAGAGAGCAAAAGTGAGAGAGATCACAGAGGGAGAGGGAGAAGCAGACTCACCACTGAGTGGAGAACCTGATGTGCGGCTCAATCCCTGAGACCCTGAGATCAAGACCTGAGCTGAAGGCAGAGACTTAGCCAACTGAACCACCCAGGCACCCCTTGTTCCCCCTTATCTTTTAATCTGCTATTGATTTCCTCTGGTGTATTTTTCATCTCAGTTATATTTTTCAGGTGTGAATGGTTCTTTTTATATTTTCTCTCTCTCTTGAAATTCTCACCGAGTTCATCTACTCTTCTTTCACGTCCAGTGAATTTCTTTATAGCCATTATTGTGAACTTTTTATCAGGTAGATTGCTTATCTCCATTTCATTCAGTTCTTTTTCTGAGGTTTTATTTTGTTCTATCAGTTAGAACATATTCCTTTCTCTCCTCATTTTGTTTGACTTTTTGTGTTTTTTTTCTTTTTTCTTTTAACTTTTCTATTAGAGAGTACAAGCCGGGGGAGTGGCAGGCAGAGGTAGAGGGAGAAGCAGGCTCCCTTCTCAGCAGGGACTGGGCTCAGTCCCAGGACCCCAGGATCATGACCTGAGCCAAAGGCAGATGCTTAACCATCTGAGCCACCCAGGCGCCCCTGAGTTTTTGTGTTGTTTTCCATGAATTATGCAGACTAGCTACTTCTAGAATTGAAGGAGTGGCCTTGTGTAGGGACATCCCCTGTATAGATTATGTGTACTTGGTTGCTTTGGCTGGGTGACTGGAGCTGTAGTGGGTGCAGCCTGGAGATCCTGGGGCATTCCACTCAGTGGGTGCCCTAACAGGACATCTGGAGCTGAAGTGGGCATGGGCCATGGGGTCCTGGGGTGTGCCGCACAGTGGACACTGGCAAGATCACAAGATCCAAAGTGTGGGTGCAGGCTGAGTGGTTTCACGGTACTGTGTACATGGGACAACTGGCAGGATGGTTGGAGCTGAAGTGGCTATAGCCTGGGAGGCTTTGTGATGTTCGATGAATGGGGGCCCTGGTGGGTAACTGGAGCTGAGGTGGGTGTGGGCTGGGAGGTTTCATCGTGCTTCACACAGTGATTGACCTGGCAGGTTGTCTGGAGCTGAATTAGGTATGGGCCCGGGATGTTCTAGGATTCTTTATACTTGTGTTGCCTTGGTCAGTTGGCTGTAGCTGTGGTGGTCACTATCTGGGAATGTCCATCCCAGTGTGTGTCCTGCTGGGATGGTCTTGGTAGGATGGCTGGTGCTCAGGGTGGTTTGAGGCAGTGGGGCCACCTTGGGGGTAAGCTGGGGCTGGTGCTGGCTAGGGGCCACTGCTTGTTGAGGCAGCAAGTGGCTCGGGTGCCTGGACCTTGTTCCTATCTTCACTGTGAAGGTGGAGGGGAATGGAAACTGGTACCACCAGTCCCTTTGATTTCAGAGAGTTCCTGTGGCTCCCCTGCTGTTTGAGTTTTAGGACTTGTTCCTTGATATTTCAGTTGCTCTTTTATTATTTTTTAAAGATTTTATTTACTTAGCACACACAAGCAGGGGGAGCAGCAGAGGGAGAGGGAGAAGCAGACTCCCCACTGAACAGGGAGCCCAACACGGGGCTCGATCTCAGGACCCTAGGATCATGACCTGAGCCGAAGGCAGACGCTTAACCGACTGAGCCACTTAGGCGTCCCTCAGTTGTTCTTTGAAACCACAGCTTTTTTTTTTTTTCCTTGTATTCCAAGGTGTCTGGGGCTGGTGTATTCTAGTAGTGTGGGGATTGTTGTGGCAGTGGGCCCTCTAGGGCACCTGGACCCTGCTTCTGTCTGCACTTAAAAGGTGGAGGGGGGATGTAAAAGGTGGTACTGGCTAGCTCCCACCTAAGAGAGTTCCAGTGGCCCCACACCATTTGGAGGAGGCTTAGTTCCTTTTCATTGCTCCTGTCCTTTTAAATTGCATCCTTTGTCTCTTGTTCCAGGGCAACTGAATCTGCTCCTGCTTCCACAGTACCGACCCTCTCCCCTGCAGTCTGCAGCATCGGGGGTGGGATTTTCATTGTTAACGTGTCTGTGCCCCCATCTCTCCTGCCATTCTCTGTGTGGTCCCTTTATCCTTTGTTTTGCTGTTCATTCAGCCCTTGGTTCTCCTTCAGGAGGAATTGCTCTGTATTTACCACATTTTCTTTATTTATCCATTGGTGGACACTTAGGTGGCTTTCATGTCTTGGCTATTGTAAGGAATGCTGCAATGAAGATGGGGTGCGTATATCCAAAAGTAGGTTTTCTCAGCCTCCATGACTATGTGATCCAATTCCTATAATAAATCTCTCTTCTCTCTTCTTTTCTCTTCTTTCTCTTCCTTTCTCCCTCCCTCTCTGTCTGTCTCTCTCCCTGTGTCATTATCTGTATCCATTTTATTCTGTTTCTGGGAGAATCTTGACCAGTACAGATTTTGGTACCAATAGTGGTTCTAGAGGAATAGAAATTTTTTTTTAAAGATTTTTATTTATTTTTTGACAGAGACACAGTGAGAGAGGGAAAATAAGGAGGGGGAGTGGGAGAGGGAGAAGCATATCTCTATGAACAGTTCCCACCATGGACTATCAGTGTTGTCTTTCAAATGGAAATAGTCATTAGTGTCTTTAAATCTAATCAGATTAGAGAGACAATTCCAGAAACAACAGAACCAAATCAGAAAACATCCTTAAATTTCTATTCCTCGGGGCGCCTGGGTGGCTCGGTTGGTTAAGCTTCTGCCTTTGGCTCAGGTCATGATCCCAGTGTCCTGGGATCCACTGTCCAGTAGTCCTTGAAAGGCCTGATTATTTCCTTCATGCACAGTTACCTCGATAAAAGCCTGTCCTTTTGTACAATACAGTAACAGTACAAATTCTCAAAAGTGTACTGGGGTCCTTCCTCAAGCGAACTGGCCTCCCCTTCATTCAAAGGGTTCTGGGCCTGCAAACTGTCTCAAATGTGGGAATTTATTGAGAAACTGTGACGCTTGGTTTTTAGGATTTGAGTTAGACTTTATTCACGTGACCTAAAACTTTTCTGTTTATACAGAACAAGTAAGAATCTAGTAGGTTCCCTATTTATTTCACTGTTTAGAACACAGTAACTAGCCAGTGCCATAAGTCTGCATGAATCAGAAAAATCTGCTGCTTTGACTCTATTGCCCATTACAATAACCACACCCACCTTCCCTTTGGTGCTTGAGTGCCTCCACTTGGCCCCTGCCATCCCAGGATCCAATTACTCCCATTGCCTTTAGGTTTTCCAACTGAGTGGCTGTGGTTCCCACTGTAAGGTCTGGCCTACAGAGAAGAGCAATCACAGAGCTCTTTAGGGATGCTAGGGTTCCACTCACAAAATTATTTCTCAAAGTATTAGTGAAAGGTGTCTTCTGGACCCTCCCAGTATGGATGAGTACATCTTAAATGACAAATCCACTCTAACAGTCCAATCTCTCTAAGCCTCTCAACTCTACATTAAACCAAGGGAGATGGGACATTTCCAATTCACATAAGGTGGGCCATCTTTTGGTCCATATTTCAGCCAACCAACCATTTAAAGCCCTAATTTCCCAAGCTACATTACATGCAGAATCCCTGCTTAGTGAGCTGTTGGAGAAAGTCATTGAGAGGATGTGACCACTGGTTGACCTGTGAGATGGACCCAAGAAATCAGATGCATAAAGATTTTAACTAATTGGAGAAGACTTTTAAGATTTGTATTTACCCTTGATGAATAATCTTATGGAAACTGTACACTAAATTTTGGGTAAGGAAGCTTCAGTGGCAGTTGGTATTTTAAAACTTCGTCTGTTTCATTGTCAATCACAACATTCTCCACTTTGTTCTCAATTTCCCAGTGATTCCACCTCTTAATGTCTCAATCAGGCTTTGTCACAAGCACTCAAACTTTAAGCCGTGGCAGTTTGTGTCCTCCTAGCTGTGCAAAGGTCTCCACTTCTTATCCTGCTCTCCCACCTACCTTGTCTGCTAGCCCCTGAGTTAGCTGAGTAGTGGATAACTCTGGATAACATCCTTCTCTAACTCGGCTTTCTGCCAACTTTCTAACTGGAGCTTCAGTCTAATTGGGCTGAACTGCCTACAGTAGAGACCAGCTCAATATAGAAGTCATCCATTTCCTTTCTTTGCTGCAGTGCACTATGCAGTTTCTCAAGCGCATCAAAACAACCAGCATTTTCAGGGGTCTCTACTTAAGCAGTGATCAAGCATCTAACATACAAGCTGCCCCTCCCCACACAGAGGTTGATGGCCAACTCAGGATTCTCCCCCCCAGATGCCCCTTTCCCAAGACACATTTATCCAGTCTCCTGGCTGGCTGACCAACTGTTCATTCACAAATGGGCCCCATACACAGAGGGCTAGGAGAGAACAAAGAAAGACCACTCCAGGTTGGTATGTAGCAGTTTTAATAAGCAAGGGAACTTACATATAAGACTTGTCCTGGGCAGCCACAAGATGAATAAATCTCTGCATCCAACCACCAGAGCCTTATGAGTTTATATAGTTAACTAGATTCAGTCATATATTCCTTCCAGATGGGCTCAACAACACATTGCTCTCTCAAGGCTGCATCCTTGAAAACAGCTTCCACTGTGAGAATGGTGGACAGAATGTACATTCCCACGATAGGGAGGAGGTAAGGAGCCTCTGCCCAGGTCCAGCTTGTGGGTCAACTGGAAGTCACACCCTCTCAATGACCTCCTCCTATAATAATTCTAGTTATTTTAGAAATGATGTTACAGTGGAGTACCTGGCTGGCTCAGCCAGAAGAGCATGCAACTCTTGATTTTGGGGTCATGAGTTCAAGCCCCACATTGGGTGTAGAGATTAAAGAAATCAATTTTTTTTTTAAATGTTTTCACAGAAATAATCAAGTTCCCTTGTCAAATGCATTATAATGAACTCTCATCAGATTTTTATGCACAGCCATTTTTAAGTCTTTTGTCATTTGCAGTTATTGTTTTACTCTGATGCTTTGCAAAAATGTTTCTGCAAAACTACTTCATCTTTAAGAAGATTCATGGAAAAGGCTCTGACAAGTAAAGGTTTCTGATAACTAAGATCATACCACTTAACTAAGAATTACAGAACTCTAATGAAAAAAACCAGTGAACTCACTAAACTGCTAACAAAAGATCAAGATCAAGAATTCTATGGGACTAGAGAATGATTATAATTTTTATGACTTTTTGTTTAAAACAGTTGTGTGTGTGTGTGTGTGTGTGTGTGTGCTTTACACATTTAAGATAAAACTTTTTCTCTTTTCTCTTAGGCTATTAGCAATTTGCTAACATAACACCTTCGTCAATAATGATAAAACAATTCTCTTTTTCTCCCCACCTGATCTCTCCAGAATTCAGAAACTCTTGGTGATTATTCTTATATCCATGATGATACAGTTATTTCCATAAGTTCAATGAGAACCTGTTCTCCTTATAACAGGACACAATTGGAAACATTGATTATGTTACCGGGCTTTGACTAGAATGCCATATTCAAAAATGTGCATAGAATCAGATATGACTAGATAGCATTAAGGAACACATTACCATGGTAAGAACTTCCCTTCCTACCAAGGGATGGGTTGAGAATATATCCCATCAACCCACCTCTGAGATACCCAACACCATGAAAGTGTATAAAGGTATGGAATCACAGAAGACACCCATTGCCCAGATTCTCACCATGGATCAATGTGCTATGCTGCTGAGAATACCATGCCCCACCATGCCTGGGAAAGGTGTTAACTACTGGAGTTTGCAAGGGGACATCCCACCAGGTGGGTAAATTACTTTGCACCCCTGGTTCACGGAGAACCATTCAATCTCCACTGCAATCCCATTCATTGCCCTGCTGCAAGCCAGACCAACTGAAACACAATATACCTGCAATAGAACATGCATCATTAAAAGAGGGGTAAAGGTGGGCATTCTGCTCTGGCAGATCCCACCCCCAGTCTATCTCATCACACCTGCCAATCCTGCCTCCCCCAGCCAACATGTATGGTATGCACAACCAGGTCAAATTCCTAAAGCTGCACCCACATTAACATCTGAAGTTCAGGCCCCAAGTGTAATTCTTATAGAAGGGGAAGACCTTCCCATACAAGTTCCTACTAAATATCTGTCTTTTTAACCTTAGATTTCTGCTTATAGGATCCAGTCAGTGGATGAGCACATTCTGTTTTCTACCCATACAATCATTTGGCCACTGTCTGTATACCCTCCACTGGCCTGGAGGACATTATAGCACACATAGAAGCCCTCACTAAATTCACCCAATAAGACTTAAATGATAGACAGCAAACCTATCTTTATTGAACACTGAAATATCTGTAATAAGAAAAACTGTCCGCCAAAATAGGATGGTCTTGGGACATTATTACTGCCTCACAAGGAGGCATCTATGCCATTATCAAAACAACGTTGTATGTTCATACCTGATAACTCTGCTAATGTATCATCTTTATTAAGTCACATGAGGACACAAGTGAATGTCTGAGTGATCCAATTAAGAAATGGAACCATTAAGAAATCAATGGTTTGGCTCACGGTGCTCTTGGTAGAAAAAAGATGTTACCATGAGCTGTACCTGGACAATCAGAGGCTCCTTACCCCCATCCCTGTCCTTCGGATATATGTTCTGCCCACCATTCCCACACTAGATGCCACTTCAAGGATGCAGCCTTGAGATGAGACCATCTGGACGGTGTACGTGACTGAATCCCATTAAGAACTCCACATAAACTTTTAAGATTCTAGTGGATGGGTACAGAGATCTACTCCTCTTGCAGCCACCCAAGACAAGCCTCATATGGAAGTTCCCTTGCTTATTAAAACTGCCTCCTGCCAAACTAGGGCTGTCTGCTGCTTCAGTCTCCATGCCCCTGGTATATGGGAGCCAGTTCCAAATTTCACCCATGGAACTCCCAAGGCTCGAACCAACATGAGTCCATATCAATAAATTTGGCCTGATCCAACTTTGTTCTTTCCACCATTATCCCATACTTTGAGTACACATTCCCACAATTTCCCTGGATTTAGGCATGTATAAATTTGGATTAGAGTGCACCTCCCCATGGATCACACTTATGGCACTGGCTAGTTACTGTCTTCTAAACAGTGAAATAAATAGGGAACCTACTAGATTCTTACTTGTTCTGTATAAACAGAAAAGTTTTAGGTCACGTGAATAAAGTCTAACTCAAATCCTAAAAACCAAGCGTCACAGTTTCTCAATAAATTCCCACATTTGAGACAGTTTGCAGGCCCAGAACCCTTTGAATGAAGGGGAGGCCAGTTCGCTTGAGGAAGGACCCCAGTACACTTGAGAATTTGTACTGTTACTGTATTGTACAAAAGGACAGGCTTTTACCGAGGTAACTGTGCATGAAGGAAATAATCAGGCCTTTCAAGGACTACTGGACAGTGGATTT